CCGGTGATCCTTCTCGTTGAAGGGTCCATGGGTGGAAAATAGCCACACATCAAGCTGTGGGGGGAGGTTCAAGAAAGCTGAATGGATTTCCCTTTGCTTGTTTCTTTGGGGTTTTCACGTCCCTGAAAAAAAAAAAAAAAAAAAAAAAGAAAAAAATTTCCACTTTTCATTAAAAGTCTTTTGAGACTGTTGGTGAAACTGATACTGCAGAAATATGTGTTCCTGTGCGCTGCCTTCCTGCTCTGTAATGGCTCTTGCATTAGGGGCTGGGGGGGCAGTGGGGAGGGGGGGTTGCTGTTGTCCATTTACTTCAGTAGAGATTGCTATTGAATGAAACCTTTAATGGGGGCTCAGCTAAGAGCTCCCAGCCTGTGGCAGAGTAGTCTTTCCCTCCACCTTGACAGCCATTAGAGAATCGATACAGGTGATCCCTCAGCTGGCCACCAGCACCCACCCTCTGGCCATGGAGCCACCCTGGCTGCTGCTGTGGGGTGACTTGTGGGAGAGCAAGACTTCCCTGGGAAGGAGGACTGTGTGGAATTCTCCTGCTAAGGTGTGTGACAGCACTCTCTGCATGACTAAACTGGTCAGAGCCAGACCTCTGAAGTTAAGCCTGGTTTGCCACCACCACAATGCAGCTAAGCTGAGGTTTCCAGGATGGTCCTTGCTGCAGAGCGACCAGCTGGGGATGGAGATGGAGTAGAGCAGCTCAGGTCCCGCTGTAGGATGGGCAGAGGATACTTCTCCAGCGCTCCCACATACCCCTCAGCTGCCAACAACCAACCCCAGGCACCCCAAAGGGACTTATTTTTCAGAAAAGGCATTCTCTGGTGAAGATCAAGCCTTAGTAAAGCCTGAGTTGCTGAGTAAAGTTGCTGGTCCCACTGGAAATCTGCGTGTGTTTTACATGGGGTCAAAAAAAGAAGGAAAGCAGCGAGCAAAACCCAAGTCCCTTGACACCCTTTTGGAGCACCTCTCCTGTGCCTGGAGCATGTCTCCTATGAAGACAGATTGAGAAAGTTGGGGTTGTTCAGCCTGGAGAAGAGAAGGCTCCAGGGAGACCTTAGAGACCCTTACAGTCGCTAAAGGGGCTCCAGGAGAGATGGGGAGGGACTCTGGATCAGGGAGGGGAGCCATAGGATGAGGGGGAAGGGTTTTAAACTGAAAGAGGGGAGATTGAGATGACACCTCAGGAAGAAATTATTTGCTGTGAGGGTGGTGAGACCCTGGAAGAGGTTGCCCAGAGAAGCTGTGGCTGCCCCATCCCTGGAGGGGTTCAAGGCCAGGCTGGATAGGGCTTGGAGCAACCTGGTCTGGTGGGAGGTGTCCCTGCCCAGGGCAGGGGGTTGGAACAAGGTGAGATCTTTAAGGTCCCTTTGAAGCCAAACCATGCTATGATTCAATAATTCATTCCACATGCCCAGGGTCCTGCACTAAGTAGAGGCAGAAGGGAGAAGGTTCAAGGGGACATGAATGTGTGAGGGTAAAAAGGGAATTGAAGGTGATGGCGAGTGTGTCCATAGGGGTGAAACAAACCCCAGCCCTTGCTGCAGAGGCACAGAGGAGACTGAGGACCCTGAGAAACAGCGTTCTGAAGAAGGGGACAGCCAGTCAGGGCTCCCCTGATGAACGATCTCTGATCTCTCTTGTTTAATGGACAGTTTGGCACTAATCAATATTTGTTCGTGGCATTATCTCCAATTCATTAAGCTACTTGCTGCTTTTTTGCCTTCCCTCGGTGGTTAACCACCTCCCTCTCCCCCGAGTCTCCCCTGGGGAGCACAGTGGGACAGGGGGATGGGGACAGTCATTTGAAGAGTGGGGAGATGCCGGAGGCAGCAGATGTCAGTGGCCAGCCCTTTTGTTCCCTGCACTCACCAGCCTGAGCTCTGGGACCACCTATTTTGTTTTTGTTTTTTTTTTTTTGTCTCACCATTGTCATTCACCAAGGAGGGGTTTTTCAGGAGTTAGCCTCACACAGGCTCTCCCCACTGCCCCAACAAACCCCAACCCAAGATTACCCTCACTCTCTGGTTTCTATTTAGATCACTTTCCATTTAACATTTAAAAAAACCCCACAACTCAGTTAATGCAAAGCACTTAAAATCAGCTGGTGTCCTACGGGGCTGATTCATCCCAATGGCTTGACTCGCTGCTCCCCTTGGCAGGAGCTTTTTAAATCCTAGTTAGGAGAAAGAAGAGCCACGGAGTTTCTGTAATCCTTTGCCTTGAGGAAGGCAGTGAGAATGAGCCTCCAACCAGGGAAACTACACCAGAGCCACTGCTTAAGCCAAACTGAGTGGGGAATGTGGGTACCTATTGCCCATAGAACATTAGATAAGATTTAGATTAGATTTTAGGAAGAAATTCTTTGCTGTGAGGGTGGTGAGACACTGGAAGAGGTTGCCCAGAGAAGCTGTGGCTGCCCCATCCCTGGAGGGGTTCAAGGCCAGGCTGGATGGGGCTTGGAGCAACCTGGTCTGGTGGGAGGTGTCCCTGCCCAGGGCAGGGGGTTGGAACTGGATGATCTTGAAGGTCCCTTCCAACCCAAACCATTCTATGATTACTATAATTGCTGTCATGGAAAATGTTGCTTCTGTCCCATATTTGATGATGCCAAGAAATGGGAGAGGTGGATCTAGTCCATCACCCAGAGCCACAGACTGGTGTCCTGGAGAGCTGCCCCAGAGCAACCTCAGCTCAGAAATGGCCAGCAGGAGCATAGAGGACAGTGGTGCCTGCTCAGAAGGGACCTAGCAGCTGGGCTTTCCCAGCCAAAGGATTGAGCTTGGCCATTTTGGCTTGGTCACCAATATTCCCTGTTTGATTGGACTTACAGATCCTCCTCCTTCGTGCTTTCTGCACCGCGCAGTCACCCCCAGAACCTGTCAGATGAAGAAAAACAGTGTGCACAGACCTTCCCCTCTTATCTGTCAATAAATACCCAAAACCCTGCTGGGCTCCCCAAAGCTGCTCCTTTTCTGGGCTGCTGGCATCATGGCCACAGAAGGTGCCAATAAAATGTGCACATCCCTGGGGAGGGAAACACCAGGAAGATACCAAGGGCATCCCCTGGTCTAAATCTAACCTTTCCTAAGCCCTGTCCAGAGAGGACAGCAGTGTTTGCACCAAGAATCACTGCATTTTTCCTGGGAGGAGGCAGAAAATCAGCCTGCCCTCCCTCCTGCTGCTTTATTTCTCCTCCCCCCCTGCTGAGGAGGCTGCTGCTGGCCAAATGCCACCCCCACTAGCCCCCAGCCCTAGCACAGCTGGGACTCGCTATTCAGAAGGGGAGAGGAGGATGCTGTAGGGTAGTTAAATGCTATAGGGGAGGTAGTTAAATGTCCTTTTTTAGTGCTCGATCCGGATCCATCATCATAATGCTGCGAGTGGGAGTGAACTCAACCCAGAACTGAATGGCCTCAGCTTCTAGGAGCTATTGGGACACTTAAAGCCCAATTCATCAAGACATTGGGTGCCTTTGACTTCTAATGGACTCAGCTGCTACCCAGAGGGACAAGGACTGCAATTCCCTCTAAGGGACAGTCAAGACTCTGTTAACGACTTGCAAATAACACAGAAAATCACCCTTCACCCCTTTGCTAGTACCAAAAATACACCTCCTAGATGCATCACCCAGAAACCACATCACCTGTTAGCGTACACCACAGCCTCCAATAATTTATTTTCCTCCTTTCTATGAATCTCATTGCAATAGTCTCAATAATTAGCATCAAAATGTACATACACAAGTTAAAATGTGCAAGACAACCAGTACCTTCCGTCACAAGCGAAACTTTACACGCACTTTTAGGGACAAACTCATCAAAAACAGGAGAGGGGTGCTGAGATTTTAGTACAAGATACTTGGCAATTCTTCAAGCAGAAGAAAATGCACACAGTTAGAAGCACTACACAAGATGAACCACCTTAATAAATAACCCACATTCGCAAGAAACGAGGAGATCACCTGCATGGGAAGCCAACCATGCATTTCATAGGACTATAAATTAAACAGATTTCATCATGAAGTAGCTGATGATTCCACCAAATCCTGAGTTATTTATGGGACTGAGCCAGAAAAAAAACTTTATACACAGAATTCCTGTGTCTCTTGGCCAGGGTTCTGTCCATCTGGGGAAAAAACACCTCCTGATGGGCAGGGAGCTGGAAGTAGGATTCAGTTCCCCCACCTGTATTTCAGCATGGTTTGTAGACATAAATACTGTGATAATTTTCTGCTCAGGAGTGAATTTTACTCATTTAGAGCTCACCAGCTCAGGCTTCAATATGTACAAATTACAGCAGGTGTATTATAGGAATCTTCAATATTAAAATAAGCCAAAAAAATTAAGAACAAAATGTGATATTCATTATACCCTAAACCCTACATGTAGGTACAATACTAATGGCTTGCTCATTTCAGGTACTGCCTAGTGCTGGGCCTTAATTTTATTTAAAAGTAAATGGATCTATAAATATTTTTACCATGAAAACAATGAGGACAGAGCAACTTAAGGTACAATAGACCATACAAAATTAGTGCAAATCAATATTTATAGATACAGCAGCTGCATGATATAATTAAATGTGCAGATAACATTAAAAGCTTTTATCTCTGATACTTATGTGCAAAGTCTTCGTTAATCCTAGCTCATCTAGGATATTAAGAGAACCTCATCATTCCAGTAACATCAAATCACCTGTGTTAATTAACCAGCTCCAGCAAGGGCTTCCATTATCCCTCCTGGATGCAAGACACAGCCCCGCATGGACACAGGGACCCCCCCTGGGATGTACAGCCCCCTCCTCATTGTCCCAGGCACTCTGCACCAGTTACAGCAGTGGTCCTAATACTCAAGACCTCCAGCAAGATGAGGTATCACATTGCCAGGGAATGCTCTTCATTAATCATTTCAGAAATACTTATGATCTGGGCCAAAGTTTGCTCATACAAGAGGATGGGACATCTGAAGCGTTACTTGGGGTTCTTCTCCAAGTCAGAATGCAAAAGAAACAAGGCGAGCTATTAAGAAAAGGAGCCTTCTTACCCATAGCTAAACGAGCAGCTCTTCCTATAGAAAAAACCCTAGCTTGCATTGTCAGTGAGAAACGGAGGGTGAAACCTCCCATGGAGGCTTAGGTGTTCCTGCAGGCTGGGGAGGGAATCCCACCTGCAGAGTTTTAGGGGCTGAGCTGTGAAATCCTGGCATCGTCTGTCCTACACCTCAAATCTTAAGATTTAGGATAGGAGAAAGGTTTTAAAACCCTTTGTTGCCTTGAGAACTAGTACATGGTGCATTTTTAAAAGCATTCGGGAGTGACAGTTCAGCGGCCACCATCCTACATAGAGCCAGCAGCAGGGAGCAGAAGAGCCCACCTTTCATATCAAGACTCACTCCCAAGGCCCACCTGGCCAGGACTCCCAACAGTGGCAAATTTCTGGACCAAAGATGGTTATGGGACAGAAGAGCCCAGCGGTGGGATCGTGGCTGCTGCCGGCCTGTGCTGAGCCCACAGCACCAACACCTCTACGAGGCCACTTGGCCCTTAGCGACCCACCCAAGAGCTCACTGGTGCCCGGGCATAAATTATCTTCACATTTGGTCTTCTAAACTGTGAGGAAGCAGAGTCAATCTCCAATATCTCTGCTAGACCCGCAGCTGTTTCATCATCCCCTGGCCCCTCTCCCCCTGCGATATTTTGGGGTTTAGCATCCTCTGGAAGAGCTGGTGTCTCAATGTCCTGAAGGTCCCCATGGCCAGCTGAGGGATGGAATAAATAAAATACCCTTATGCTGCTCCAGCAATCAACATCTCTGAGACAGTTCACATTCAAATAAGAGCCATTAAAAGACTTGCATGTTAAGGAGAAGAAGAGCCCATACCTGGTCGTGCACCCACACAAAATAAACAGGTTAAAATAAACGGGCTTTGGGAAATGCACTTGATAAAAACGTCCCTCACGCAAGCTTTGGTAGGGACTGCACCAGGCAGTCCCCATAGAGGTGGTGCATTAGAGGCACGGGGACACTCCACACAGGGATATTTGTGCACAAGAGGTCGATGGGAGGTGGAATTCCCTCCTGCCTGCCTTTCCCTTTTGGGAAAATTAGGATATGGGAGGCGAGGAAAGGAAAGGTGGGGTAGTGCATGATGGGCTTCATCCCGGCGCGTCATCAGGGTTCTCAGGAGAGAAACCCCCTGCACTCAGAAATATCCCCTGGCTCCAGAGAGACTGGATGTATCCAAAGAGTCACCACCGTGAGGGTCACAACGTCACCTCCTGCGGCGTGTGCACACCACCACAGACCCATAGCACGGGCGAAGCTGGTGGAGGAGGTGTCCCTCCTGGCTAATGGGTGGCGTGGACCTTCTTGTGGAAGAGGTAATCCTCCTTCTCGGGGAAGTGCTGGCCACACACCGGGCAAAGGCAGCCCTTCTCCTCGCTGTGCGTGCGGCGCACGTGGCTGTCGTGGGCGGCGTGGGAGGCGAAGGCTTTGCCACAGTGCTTGCACTTGAAGGGCTTCTCCCCAGAGTGCTGGCGGATGTGGGTCCGCAGGATGCTGGAGGCCGTGAACGCCTGAAAGGGCCGGGATGGGGAAAACAGGGAAGGGGGTGGTGTGAGGAGTTGGAATTATACCTATTTTCACATATACAATCCCCCAAGTTCATCTCACCCAGAGCCATCAGAAGCGCTGTGGTCTCAGAGTAAGCCCCCAAATATAGCTTGCATCCTCAAATATCTCACATCCTCAAACATCTCCCATCCTCAGCCAGCTGGAGAAAAAAAACCAACAAACCCAAACCTCACAGCAACAAAGAACCAGAAGCCACCAACTATCACACTCAGCTCAACGGATATAGTTGAGTCCATGGAGTAAGATGATGCTCAGAGAAAAGACTTCTGACGTAGGAACACCACTAAATATCTTCTACGTGTCAAAGGATAAGAAGTCAATACTGTCCTAATTAGCTTTGTAGCTTCTTTATGTTTGGGAGATATAATGAAAGTTCATTTTCAGCATGGAACCCTTTAAGGTCTACATACACTGGATTGGGGTTCAGCTGCCAGAATTCACCCACGCAGTCAGTTCAGCATCCATCTTTTTGGATTTCATTTTCCCCCCTCCATCATACTCTGTTCTTCCTTCAAATCAGGCATTCCAGCCTGGTTTCCCCTCCTCATGAGTATCAAAATGTGCACAATCACACTTTGTCCCCCATATAGAGACTCCTCCCGCATTTAGGGAGAAAACCCTCTCACTAGTCTCGAGCAGGAATATTGCAAAGTAACCCCCATTTCCCCTGTTTTTTCTCTTCCCAAGAGACCTTCAGGCCCTTACTATTTGCAGGTGACACAAAAACCCTCTGTAGTACAGTGCTGCTGCTGCACCATCACAAATAAAGCTTCACAGCAAAGAACAATCCATCTCAGGCACCTTTTCACCAGGAAACCTTAGAGCACAACTAGTTCTGAGACCGGGAAGTCCCTGGAGATGTTTATCAGCAGGGCCAAAGTGTGTTTTAGGGCCAGAGTGGTGACCTTGACCCAACACTTTTCCTTTCATCTCATGATTTCACCGAGATAGTGAGCAAAGGGGCAGGGAGAGCAAAGCTGCCCTGGAGCAGAGCCACTCTCAGAGGGAGAAGAGGCAAAGAGGAACTATGATTGTGTAGGAGGATCTGGTGAGGATGCTTTAAAGTAGTCCCTTGATTTCCCAGCCACAGAAATGATGGCTATGTCCCGGGATAGCTGCATCCCGCAGCTGGAGGACTAATGGTTTCACCTGATCCAACCTTCAACAGTCCTATAGGAGCAGCTGGGGGCTGGTCAAGAGTCCCATGTGTCCTAGAGATCTGCTCAGAGCAACCTGTAAAACTCTGCCATCTCTACCCAAGTTCAGAAGGTTAAAGGATGACATTGTAAACTGAAAGAGGGGAGATTTAGATCTTAGGAAGAAATTTTTTGGTGTGAGGGTGGTGAGACACTGGAAGAGGTTGCCCAGAGAAGCTGTGGCTGCCCCATCCCTGGAGGGGTTCAAGGCCAGGCTGGATGGGGCTTGGAGCAACCTGGTCTGGTGGGAGGTGTCCCTGCCCAGGGCAGGGGGTTGGAACTGGATGGTCTTTAAGGTCCCTTCCAACCTAAACCATTCTATGGTTCTTCATCCTAAACTCTGCCAGGGTGTCTGGGAGAGAAATATAATGGCTGAAAAGGAGTGTCTTCTAAGGTTCTTTACTACAGGACACTTCAGCTCTGTGTTAGTCCAGCCAGTCATAAAAAAACCTCTCTCTCCAAAAAGAGGAGCACCTTCCTACATACTGATGGTGCTTCTGCATTGCAGGGACTCTCCATAGCATCTGGAGATCTCCTGATATTTCTCCAGCAGCAGCATCCACCCTCCATCTGTCGGGAGAGCTCACCCCAATCCTCCCTGCTGGGAAGGGCAGTCAAGGGGGAGTACGTATCCCACGGGTGCTGTATAGCTCCATTCATGGTCTTTTTTTCAAAGGAAACCTCCCTGCCCAGTTGCACATCAACAGCCCAGTTACTTCCAAGGTGAGCAACGCACCAAGTCCTATCGTGCAGGTTTAGCTCATGGGCCAAATCTCTCCACCGCGCTCCAGAAACAGCATCAGAAATATCAAAAACTACCCATCATTTGATGAAAAAAGGGGAATTATCAGATCTAGCTGCGTGCCTTGGATGGGGCTTGGAACGTTCTCAAGCTTTCCTAGTCCTTATCCCCACAGCAGCTCTCCCAGCTGGGATGAAACATGGATTTCACACCAGATTTTGTTTCTCCAGCCTCAGCCAGCCCTGCCACTTCCACCATCAACCGTGCCCAGAACAGATACTCATCCGGTTAGCAATTAAAATAGGAGGTTATTTTCTTAAAAGAAAATGGAAAATAAATAGAAGAATTGAAAATGGCAGGCAGACAGAGGGATGGGGGCTCTGCCTCACCTTGTTGCAGTAGACACACTTGTAGGGGCGCTCCCCGGAGTGAACCCTCATGTGTTTGTTCAGGCTGGAGGACTGAGAAAAGCTCTTCCCACACACTGAGCACTGGGGAGGAAAAAAAAAATAATATATATATATAAAAAAAAGGTTTAAGTTAAATGGAAGAAACATTAGCATAGAAAAATTAGCTGTGTTTATGTATAATTCCTATGTATATTTATCTATATGCAAACACAGCAGTAATTTAAGCAAGAACTGTTTGAAATGGTCAGAATTTTCATCTGGTTTTGCAGCAATTTTTTTTTTTTTTTTTTTTTTTTTTAAAAAAAAAAAATGAAAAATTTCAAAGCTTTTTTTTATTCAGTTAAAAACTTTTCATTTAACT